CAAGGTCAGCAGTTCGAAACTACTAGCTGTTCCGCAGGAGAAAGATGGGGCTTTCTGCTCCTGTAAAGATTTACAGCCTCGGAAACCCTGTACAGGGTCACTATGAGTCGGAACTGACTCCATGGCACATAATAACAACAATAACAGAGACAAATCCTGTTAACCAATGGTGCATGGATTGTAATCATTACATTGAAACAAAATATGATTGGTTGAGTGCAAAACCGATGGTCTCCCATGTAAACTATCACTCAATTCACAATAAAACCATTAAAAATAAAATAAGACAGGAAAGAAAGGAAAAAAGATCAAAATGTGTTCCCGAAGACTCTGAAACTTGCTCTTGAAGATAAAGTAGCTGAAATAAAAGGAAGAAATGAAGTAAAAGAGCTGAACACATCACACAGGGTAGCTCTAGAAGACAAAGTAAATTATTATAATGAAACATGCAAAGACCTAGAATTAGAAAAGTAAAAGGGAAGAATACACCCAGAATTTTCCAACCTGTAAGAACTAGAGAAAAATTCAAGCCTCAAGGTGCAATTTTGAAGGATTCTATGAAGATCAAAGACTACAGTCTTCAGTATGGATTATACCTCCATGTAAAGAAACAAAACCCCTCACAACTGGACCAGTAAATAACATCATGATAAATGGAGAAAAGATGGAAGATGTCCAATATTTCATTTTGCTTGTATCCACAACCAACAGTTATGGAATTTGTTGTCACTGTTGTCATTGTCATTGACTTGGTTCCGACCCACAGCAACCCTGTATAGGAGTTCCAAGGAGTGGTTGGTGAGCTTGAACCACTGGTCTTGTGATTCAAACCAACTTTGCAGCCCAGCTCATTAACCCACAGCACCACACCAGGACTCCAATTATGGAAGTTGTTGTTGTGTTAAGTGTCGTCGAGTTGGTTCTGACCCATAGCAACTCTGTATAGGATTTCTGAGGAGCAGCTGGTGAGCTTGAACTACTGACCCTGCAGTTCAAATGCCTTTGCAGTCTGACACATTTACCCACAGTACCAAGCCAGAAGTCAGGAAATCAAACATGCAGCACTGACCCCTTTAAAGTCTTCAAGAACAAAGATGTTTTGAGAACTAAGGTGCATCTTAGTCCTCACTAAGTCCTCACTAAACAATCCATAATATATGTTTGTTTTTATTTTTTACTTTTCATTGTAAATTTAGTGACAGTTTACAGAGCAGTTCATCAGTTTTACATTCAACAAACTCATATACTTTGCTTCATGACAATGGTTGCAGACCCCTCCATATATCAATAAATAGTTAACAGTATTCATCTATATTCACTTCAACGATTGCATTCCTCCATGTCTCCCATTACCTTCATCTTTCCTCTGCTAACCTTCCTCTTGTTATATACTACATGCTACATCACTCATGTCAACATGTGTCTACTCTCTCTCCAGTTCATGAACAATTGCCCTCCCATAACCATCATAGATTGCTTATTAAAGAAAACATTTAACTGTTTACATTATCGATCTCAAACAATATTTGTCATTTTATGAGTCACAACTTTCACTTAGCATAATGCCCTCTATTAGCATTGTGCCCTCCAGTCATGTTGTGAGGTTTTTCATCCTTATTCTTCAATGATGCGTAGTATTCCATATTGCGCATATACCAAAGTATGCTTAGCCATTTGTCGTTGATGGACATTAAGGTTTGTTCACTGTTTTGATATCTCTTGTAGACTGCCCAATCCATTTTCAATATTTTCAGTAACCGTCTATGTATGTGAAACTTGGACAACGAATAAGGAACACCATAGACCTGATGCATTTGAGTTATGATATTGGTAGAAATTACTCATAGTATCATGGACTTCCAGAAGAACAAATAAATCCGTGTTGGAAGTACAGCCAGACAGTTCCTTAAAACAAATCTGTGTTGGAAGTAGTATAGCAGGATTGCTCCTTAGAAGCCAAGATGACCAGACTTATTTTCTCATACTTCAGGCATATTGTCAAGTGGTACTAGTCTCTGGAGAAGGATATCGTGTTTGGTAAAATGGAGGGTCAGAGAAAAAGAGGAAGACCCCCAACAAGATGGATTGGCACAGTGGTAGAAGCAAAGGGCTCATATGTAGCAATGATTGTGAGGTTGATGCAGGACTGGGCAGTGTTTCATTCTGTTGTGATAGAGTCACTATGAATTGGAACCGACTCGATGGCACCTAACAATAACAACATGAGTTGAAACCTACTCCACAAACATAACAACCACCACCACCTTTAGCTCTCTAAACCTAGCATTTCTTCCTGAGTCTTTACCTATTGAAAAGTATTTTTTACTTCATTACTGTGGGTCAGGAACCATGGTAGGCACTGTGGACACCAATCTGAATTAAGGTGGTGGTGGTGGTTATGTGCCATGGAGTCGGTTCCGACTCATAGCGACCCTGTACAGGGTTTCCAAGGCTGTAAATCTTTACAGGAACAGAAAGCCTCATCTTTCTCCCACAGAACAGCTAGTAGTTTCGAACTGCTGACCCGAAGGTTCACAGCCTGATTCATAACCATTATGGCAGGCTCCTAATGGAAACTGATCCAGATAATCAGCTACAAAACATGGTTGTGAATGTGCCATTGAGTTTGTTCAGATTCATAGAGACCCTGTACAGGGTTTTTGATGTTTTATATCGTTAAGGGAGCAGAATGCATCACCTTTCTCTCAAGAAAAGGCTTCTGAATTCAAATTTCTGAGCTTGTTGTTAAGCAGCCCAACACATAACCTATTAAACCACAACAATCCTTCTGCTACAAAACATAGCAGCATGCTATGTTATTAAGAAGAGAACTTAAGCTAGTGATATAGAGCAAGATGTGATAAAACAAAGTTAAAAACTATATCCACACATTATCTTGTTTAATTTTATTATTCTATCTTTACATAAAAATAAAATTTTACACAAAAACATAATTATATGAGGATTCCTGGTGTAGCTTTGTGGGTTAAAACACTGGACTTCAAGGTCAGTTTGAATGGCAAGTTGGAAAGTCAACATCACCAGCCGCTCCTTGGAAACCTTGTATGTTGTTGTTGTTGTTATGTGCCGTGGAGTCGTGGAGTCGGACTCATAGCGACCCTGTACAGGGTTTCCGAGGGTGTAAATCTTTACGGGAGTAGAAAGCCTCATCTTTCTCCCGTGGAGCAGCTGGTAGTTTCGAACTGCTGACCTTGTGGTTCACAGCCCAAGTCGTAACCACTACGCTACCAGAGCTCTGTTCACATCACTTAACAACAACAAGTCTAGTGTACTTTTTTTTCTATAAGATGGCTACCTCATCACTTTCAGTAATACAAAGGAAACAATTACTTGCAACTGTGAAAATAATAATCTTAAATATGCCCATGCTTCCATGCAAAATAAGTGGGAATTTGCAAATAATTTCTGATGCAAGGTTGGGAGTAACATTGTGGAAGGAAGAAAAAACACAAATAGAGAAGTTGTCTAAATATCAGAAAAAAACAGAAAGCTTTACAAAGGGAGTTGTTTAAAATTAAACACATTGAAATTCCAGGATATTCATAGAAATATGCAGTTTCTATTACCATGATCTGATCAAAGAATCATCATTTCTGGCTCTGAGGCTTTGAATCCTACAGTCAATATCACAATCACTTCTTCAATCCCAGGACAGGTGGCCCTTGATGACCTCCCTCCTGAGTAATCTCCTCAGAGCCTCCTTTATGTCTCTATTCCTCAGGCTGTAGATGAAGGGGTTCAGCATGGGTGTGACCACAGTGTACAGAACCGAAGCCGTTGTACCTGCATGTGCATTGTGACTAGCAGAAGAACCGATGTATACCCCTATGCTCGTAAAATAAAATAAGCAGACAACTGAGAGATGAGAAGCACAAGTGGAAAATGCTTTATACTTCCCCTGAGTTGATGAAATCACACGAACGGAGGAAAGAATCTTAGAATAGGAGAAAAAGATGCCAGTGAGGGGCCCACCACCCAACAGCACAGCTATAAAAAAAATTACCATTTCATTCATAAAAGTGTCAGAACAGGCACATTGGATCACCTGATTAAGTTCACAAAAAAATTGGGGGATTTCCACATCTGTGCAAAAAGACAGTTGCAACACCATTAAGCTCTCCAATAAGGAATGAAGGACACTAAGGATCCAGCACATCAGAACCAGCAGTCCACAGAGCCGGGGGTTCATTCTGACCATGTAGTGAAGAGGGTGACAAATGGCCATGAAACGATCATAGGCCATCACAGTCAGAAGGAAATTGTCCAACCCCACAAAAAGTACAAAAAAGTACATCTGGGTGATGCAGCCTTCATAGGTGATGACTTTGCTCTGTAGCTGGATATTCACCAGCATCTTTGGGACAGTGGTGGAGGTAAAACAGATGTCTACAAAAGACAGATTGGCAAGGAAAAAGTACATGGGCGTGTGGAGATGGGTGTCTGCAATGATGACCAGGATGATGAGCACATTTCCAAGCATGGTGATTAGATACATACACAGGAACAAGTCAAAGAAGAAGGGTTGCAATTCTGGTTCCTCTGAAAATCCCATAAGAAGAAATTCTGAAATTTGTGTTTCATTTCCTGGTTCCATGTGGTCGGTGATACTACCAATACAAAGAGAACATAACTAACTTTCAGACTAACAGACTTTCCTAACATAGTGGGGAAATAATAATTTATATTATCCAATCAGTAAATTATTTTTTTCTCTTTTCTGCATGGATTTGGTTTCTTTAGAAGATCTCTGGCTATAGCTTTATAAGGAATTTCTGTACCACCCTCAGTCTTCTTGGTAAGCAAGCATGTGGTCTACAGTTTTTGCAAGCAATTCATTCATTCATTTGCATAACATGCACTGCCAACTATATGTTCCTGGCAAAGTCTATACAGTGCTGGAAAAATAAAGTCTCTAAAACCAAATACAATGTTGTGGTTGTTAAGTGCCATTGAGTTGGTTCCAACTCATAGCATCCCTGTGTAGGGTTTCTGAGGAGCAGCTAGTTAGTTGAACTGCAAATCATAGATTCAAGACCTTGAGGTTGAGTGCTTATCCTACAACCCCAATCAGGACACCAACCTTATACATAGAAGGGATATAACTAACCTGAAAATAATCATTAATATGCCAGAGGAGTGCTGTTGTGTCACTGTTGAATAAGCACTTGGCTGTAAGATTGGTTTGAACTGCAAGGTCGGTGAGTCAAACCCACCAGCTGCTCCTCGAAAACCATATACAGCATTGCTATGAATCAGAACCAACTCAATGGCACCTAACAACAAACAACAGCAACAATCATGTCAGTTGATGAAGGAGAAATATGAAAAAAAGAAATGTGCTCTAAAAGAGAGAGTAAGCAAGGAATATCAATCTTGAGAAAGACTGACTAATGGGTGTTCAAATAATACCAATAGGTAGGGTGACATGTGAGCAGAGGCCTCAAGGCCCTGAGGAAGGAGCTCGGCTCAGATTTTCAAGGCTATCAAGAGGTGTAGTGAGAGGGATGAGTAATGTGATCAGTGATGGTAGCCTTTCTGTTGCTGAAACTTCAAGACACAAATGGTCCATAGGTCCAGACACTGTACCTCTTACACTTCAGTTATTTGGTTGCAAAATCTTCCAATCCTTATTTCAGTTTGTGGTTTTAAGATCTGCCCTGCAAAAAAAAAAAAAAAAAAAGATCTGCCCTGCATATTGTTAGTGAAGACTAAAAATAAAAAAGTCCAGGATTCCCTCTACTTTCAGACCTGCTTGTGCCCAACAAAGGGTACAAACACAGACACACACATACAGAGACAGAGAGAGAGAGAGAGATTCGCACAAAAATAGATAAATAGCATGGTGACCAGATCAGATTATTTTATCCCTTAAAGATGTCAAACGGTTCCCAGATATTGCAGTTGGGAATCCTCGCATAGACTTGTCAACTAAGAAATTATTTTCTGCCCTGTATTTAAACAAAAATAGTATGATCACATAG